ATTTGTTTTGAGGGTGTCTTTGTAGGTTCTGGAACTATTAGCCGCTTCTCACATGAGTAGATTGCAAAAATTTTTTCCCATTTGTAGGTTGCCTGTTCACTCTGATGGTAGTTTCTTTTGCTGGTTGCGAAGCTCTTTGTTTATGGAGGATCCCATTTGTCTAATTTGGCTTTTGCTTGCCGTTTGCTTTTGGTGTTTTTTAGACATGAAGTCTTTTGCCCATGCTGTGTCCTTGAATTGGTACTACCGTAGATTTTCCTCTAGGGTTTTTATGGTATTAGTCCTAACATTTAAGTTCTCTAATCCCATCTTGATATATAATTTTGCATATAAAGGAGTAAGGAAAGGATCCAGGTTCAGCCCTTTCATACTTATGGCCTTAGCCAACTTTTCCCAGCACCATTTATTTAAATAAGGGAATGCTTTCCCATTCTTATTATTTCTTCTTTCAGGTTTTGTCAAAAGATCAGATGGCTTGTTGAATGTGTTGTGGTATTATTTCTGAGGACTCTGTTCTGTTGCATTGGTCTATATCTCTGTTTTGGTACCAGTAGCGTGCTGTTTTGGTTACTGTAGCCTTGTAGTATAGTTTAAAGTCAGGTAGCGTGATGCCTCCAGCTTTGTTCTTTTGACTTAGGATTGTCTTGGAAATGCGGGCTCTTCTGCACTGTTTTCTAAGAGGCTCCCTGGAAATGTTTCCTATGAGCTTATTTTTTCCCCTTGATCTGGTCTTGACTCTGGCAGCCTAATATTGAACTTCTTTGATGTTTCCTTCCATATTTCATGGGAGAGATTTAACAAATAGAGGGGAAATATTGAAATGAGACTAGCTGTCTGTTTAATGACTGTACCCCTTATCTGAGAAATGATTATCAGGAGATATCTTCCAATGAAAAAGTGCTGTCTCACATTCTCCTGATAATTCTCTCCTCTTGTTATTTCTCTTAAAATTAACTTACAATTTGAAAAGCCAGCCCTGAAAATTTAAGCTATGACCAAGACTCACCATGTTTATTGCTGCGGGATCATGAGCAAGCATTTTGCTTTCATGATTTTTAGCATCCCGTAAAATGGGACAAAGCCTTCAGTTTACAGAATTATTCTGAGGTTTAGTGCAGCTGGTGGATTAAGAATAGTTTAGCAATATGCAAAATTAAGAATCCTGAGCGTTAAATAGTAGTTTGGGTTCAAAGAAGAGGCAGGTGTGATGAAGGGTTCAATGGGAATCCCTGAAGCTGACACCATTATATTTACATCCTGCTGAAATGTCAATATCATCTCCTGAGATGAGAACTGTCAGCTCGTATTCATGACAATGAAGAATATTTTCTCTCTCTGTTTTTTCTTTTGTGTTGATAGGAGTTGTTTTGAGCAATGGAGAAAGATGGAAGCAAATCCGGCGTTTCTCTCTCATGGTTTTGAGGAATATGGGGATGGGGAAGAAAACAATTGAAGACCGAATTCAAGAGGAAGCCTTGTGTCTGGTGGAAGCATTAAAGAAAACCAATGGTGTTTATTTCTTCATATAATTAACACTAATAGTTTGGGTAGAACAAATGGTATTGTAAATAGACTACAAAATATGATGATGGCTGAAGAATCATAGTTTACTTTTTGCTCACATAACAGTAATTAGGAGGTGAAGTGTTTGGAATAACAGTCTTTTTAGGTACCACGTTAATTGTGCTTTGATATCTTCAGCAAATGTCTTTCAATATCATCAATGATTCATATCTCTGTGTGATACAGGAAGGAGAAAAGAGCAAGTTAAAAAGCAAATACTTTAGGCCAGGCATAGAAGTGGCACACGTAACGTCTCTCATGTGTGCCACTTAGTAACAGGGCCACACTTAACTGCCAGAGAAGCTGGAAAATGTGGTTTACTCTGTGCACAGGAAGAAAAGAACACGGATTTTGGCAATCAGCTATCAGTCTTGGCCACATAGGCTTAAAAAATTAGGTAACTTTTCTAGTAAAGTGTTTAAGAACAATACAGGGGTTGCCAACTACCACCAAAGTGTGGGGCTGCCATCCACCCCTCATAATAGAGTGTGGATATGAAGAGATGGTACTGCAGCAGCACAGATCTCTGCAGTGCGTAGATGTGTGTGTGCACCTGCAGGGCTGGGAGAGGAGGTGGAAGAGAAAGGTCCAGGCAGGGCAAGCAAGGGGTAAGATCATAAGATATATGTGGTTTTATAATGTCATGTATTGAATGAATATTTTTGTGTGTTTAACTTTTAAATGTTTTTCAAGAACAGTATTAGCTGGATAGTACAGTAGTCCTTTATTTTGGACACACCAGTGTTTATTTAACTAATCCTCTGTTTTGGCCAGATAGGTTGATTCTAGTTTTTCCTGCTCTTAATATACAAAAGTACAACCCATATTAATTATTGTAAATCTCTGACTACTTTCTTTGAATAAAATTTGGAAATAGAATTAGTCAAGCAATGAATATTGAATTTTGGCACATATTATCTGTGAAATTATTTGTATCCTTAATTTGTATTGAAGCAGAACTTGTGAGTAACTCGTTCAACTTTTCCTGTGTTGACTATTACCTTCTCTCAACTCCCTGACCTTTAGTCATCCAAAATCTACTTGATTCCACTTTGTTGTAGGGACCTCACACTCTTGGGGAAGCCCATTTCATCACTAATAACACTAACAGTTTTAAGTTATTTCCACAGGTTGAGGAGAGCTAATTTACGTCATAACTTCTAATTTTTGATCTGAGCTTGCATTGTCTTTCTAGAGTTGTGGTGTTGTCACCACACAGAGGCAGGAGGGACCTACTTATCATCCAAAATCTGGTTTAGATGATTACAATAGGGATGCCACACAAACACCAATAGGATATGAAAGGTTTATTACTCACATAATGTTGCTTTCAATGAAGATCAGGCTGACACCCAACCAGTTCCAAAATGACACTGAAAGAGCAGCAGGAGGATAGTGGCATGAGGTTTTCATGGCAATTAGGGTTTAGGGCTAGGTTGAAGTTTCCTGTGTGCAGGTCAGGGCTTGGGTGGCTTAAACTGTCTATTAGTGCTAACAGAGGAAACTGTTACATACTTTTTTTTTTTTTTTTTAAGGCATTTGAAGTTTATAGTAGTTGTGGCATGTCCAGGTAGTTTCTATTACGGAAACATCTTAGAAATCAATCATTTCCAATTATTTTAAGCAGTCAATTTTAGATTTATATGAAAATTGTGTATTAACTTCTGACTGGCATTGTTTGTAGCATCTCCCTGTGATCCCACTTTTCTTCTGGGTTGTGTACCCTGTAATGTCATCAGCTCCATCATTTTCCAGAATCGTTTTGATTACAGGGATCAGAAATTTCTAACCTTGATGAAGTATTTTAATGAAAACTTTGAAACTGTGAGCACCCCCTGGATACAGGTAAGGCCAAGGTTCTTTTTAGAATGTGTAATAGTTTTCAAGCTCATCTATAGCTCATGCCTACCCCATCTCTCTGCCCTATTTAAAAATGTCCAAAGCAATGCTTATCAAACTATCATTTGCAACACATTAGTGAGTTATCAAATCAATCTAATGTGATGCAATAAAATTGAAAACATGAAGTAATGTAGAATAGAAAAAAATACATAATCTCAGAGTGCTACATTTATAGCAAGATTTGTTTGGATGAAAATTTTGTTTGTTTTTAGATCACCAGATATAGAGGGTAGTGATTTAAGATGTATTTCTTATTAAAGTACACGGTCAGAAAATGTCAGTAACCTATGTTTTACAATCACTAACAACTAAAATTCTATACTGATCATAAGTTCCTGATGTGACCTACCTTCAAAGGACCCTAGAGAAAAAATAATCTAATGTCTCTTATTTACTGGAATGGGAAACTGATCCAGAGCTATTAGGCATATTTTTCAAAATAGCCTAGCTAAGACAATGAACATCAAAATCTAGAATCTAGAATTCCTGATTCCTGATTCTGTATCTAGTTTGATTTAAGCTACAAGCCTGAATATATTATGTTGATGCCTTTCAAGGGTATTAGGTCATTAGGGTGTTGTCTAAATTAAAGCATGTTCTGTAAGCTCTAGGACTAGCAAAAACATGAGTCAGGAAAATATGCACATTCTTTGGGGTGGAATATTTAAATTATATATATATGTATATGTGTGTGTTTGTGTTTTTTATACATATGTATACGCTACGTGATTTGGGCACTTTCTTAATCTTTCAGATGTACTGTTTCTTCATTACAACAAATGAGTATGAATCTTCAATATTTTTAGAGTATCCCCTGGTAAAACATATATTGTGTATACTGGTGCAAACACAAGGTATTAGCTCTGAGATCACTAGTTTGGTGTCTTCAAATTGTTGATTAACCTTATGAACTTCAATTTCCTCATCTAAAGAGAGGTGACAACAGGGGTAATTTCCTGACTTCCTTCAGAGAGTTAGGTTAGGAAATCAATGTGATTGGCCTTGAAGTTGCTTTGTAACCTGTGCATACTGTCTCTGCCTACTTTTTCAGTGCTCTCTCCTTCAAATTCAGAATGCATTCCTGTGCAGGAAGCATGTCTATTCATCTTTATCTACTTAGCATATAACCAGTGTCTGATAAATGGTAAGGACCAGTGTTTAGTGAATGAATTAATGATGGATTCTTTCTTCTTTCAGCTCTACAATGCTTTCCCCTTTTTACGGGTTCTCCCAGGAAGTCATAATGTGATATTTAAAAATTATGCTCTCCAAAGAAGTTTTATTTTGGAGAAAGTAAAAGAACATCAGGAATCTCTGGACATCAATAACCCTCGAGACTTTATTGACTATTTTCTGATTCGAATGGAAAAGGTACAGTGTAATTCTGATTTGCTACTTTATCTTTGTGGGTGTTGTGACTCATTGATATGCTTTGATTTTCCCAGTGAAACTGAGATATGAAAACAAATGCTGTATCCTAAAGTGTATTAATTGTTTATGCAACATATTACCTGTGTAAGCCATATTGCGTGTCTCTGGATATTTCTAAGTTCTCACCCAAAGAGACTTAGGCTTTATGTTTACCATGTTAAAGCTGGTTCTTTATCTGGGGGCAGATCAAAATATGCAAACACACACATGCACACATCCATTCAAGACTGATGATAACATATCATGGTTCTGTGAAGAGAAGATGTAACAAATGAGGGAACACAGGAATGGATAGAAACCCAGACAGGCTTACTTTTGGGAAATCTCTAAGATATATTCATTTACAGATGAGGTAGGTTTGAGGAAACTCTGACTTAAACAGGGAGGAGAAAATAGATCCAGGAGATGATGAGTATAGTAATCAAGTTTGTGAAATTTTCAAAGAGGCTATAATGATTGTAATTGAAGAGCAGTCTTGGGTGTAATGACTGATGGAGTTGTAAATACTGCTGTAGTTTGGGTGTGATTAGTTCAAGAAACATGAATGAAAAATTAGACATGATGAAATAGACATTAGATGCTAGAGTTGACAGTGATTAGCAGTGATGACTTAATCAAAAGCATGTTTAAAAAATTACAAAGGAACTGACTGGCTCTAGTGGGTTAGAAACTGAAGATTCAGAAAGTACTTGAATGTTTATGAGTCTGATGTTATTTTAAATTTGAAGCAATTCTAACAGTTCACCTAATATTATCTTCACCCATAACACACTCTAAAGTCTGGCTTAATTAGCCAGGTACTGATGTTGTACTGAATAGTATAGTGTTACTTGAAAAGCTTTTTATTAAGTAATTTTAACATGTCATTGCTAGGAAAAACACAATAAAGAGTCTGAATTTACCATGGACAACTTGGTTGCTACTATATGGGATATGTTTAGTGCAGGAACAGAGACAACAAGCACCACAATGAGATACGGACTCTTGCTCCTGCTGAAGCACCCTGAGATCTCAGGTATGAACAGATGATGGGCAAGATCAAATTTCAGGTAGAAGCGGACAGAAAATACTGATAACCACCCCACCATTTACCTGCCAACACAAGGTACAACAAAATTTCTCATCATTAGTACATCTACCTACCATTGGGTGGATTCAATTCAAATTAGTTCCTAGTATAAAAGGAGAATAAAATGTTTAAATAATGATAGAGATTTGAAGAGCAGAGGCCATTATTCTCCCTGCGATGGTATAGGATTCTTGATTTGGTTTGGAACAGATGCAGCAGTGTGGCATTGTTATTTTGAACAATGAGCTGTAGACTTCAATAGCGGTGGCTTTGAATTCTGATTCTACTAATAGGTGGCTTGCTTGACCTGCAGACACATGATTACTTTCCATATCTGTGGTCCCTTATCTGTTCAAGGGGGATAATATGGGAAAGACCACATATTCCCTGAGCATCCTTAGGAAACTATTTACTTCTGTGGACTTGTTTCTTTGTAAAGTACATGAAATTATACCTACCACATAGAATTTTTTTGAAGAATTATAAAGTAATATAATGAAGAGTGCAGTGTGTCTGTCCTATATTATTAATACCTTCTGAATAAATTTTAACTTCTTAAGTTTTTGTGCTGAATCAAGTTAATATCTCATTTCCTGAACTGCACTGTGTACTTCTTAGATTATTGAAACTTAAATATTTAAGATAAAATTGAAATACACAAAATGGTTAAACTACAAGGTCTTCAGTGATTCTTCAGGATCCCAGATCTCTGAGTCTGTCAAGAAAAAGTACACAGAGTAGGGAATCAAAGTTGAGGATTGAATGTCATGGTGCAATTGCATTTCATACCTGCATACCTGTGTCTAATGATCTTTCAGTTTGCCCAAGAAATGTAAACTGTGTGTCCTTTTTTTTTCTCTTATGGAGGTAGTGACACATAATTTTCCATCAATGTCCCATCTCCAACTACAATGGGACAATGATGAAGGGATCCTACAAATGGTACTTCAAGTTTTTTTCACTTCTCATAAATTCTGACTCCTGCCTTGCCAGCTAAAGTGCGGGAAGAAATTGATCATGTGGTCGGCAAAAACCGAAGTGTGTGCATGCAAGACAGAAGCCGGATGCCCTACACGGATGCCGTGGTGCATGAGATCCAGAGATATATTGACCTCATCCCCACCAGTGTGCCCCGTGCAGTGACTCAAGACATTCGGTTTAGAGAATACCTTATTCCAAAGGTGAGAGATATTATGTCTATACCCTTCCTTAGGTGTCTTAGGCAATCAAATATCATAGCAGTAGAGCTGTAGATTGCCTAATCTTCTACAGGTATGGCATAGTCATAACTCAGGCATCCTACCCTGTAACCACATTCTTCTTTCCTTCTAGTTTTTCATACAAGTTTCTAAATGTGATAGTGCCAAGACTCCCACAGGATTTTCCATGCTTTGATAGCTCCACACTCTGCCTGTCCATTAGCCCAGTGTGCTATCCTGTCCCTTCCTTTCAAATTTATGTTTTATTACTCTTACCAATTAACCTGTATCCTGTATCCCACCCCTTCTCTACTGTCCCTATGACTTACTTGTGAAAAGTCCAACATAAAAGTCTCCTTCCTCCCTGCCTGATTATTGGCTACTGACCTGTGCTGGAAAAGACCATGCAGCCCAGCAGGTTGATATTGTTATCATCAATGGCAAATGTGGTGGTTTAATTTTCATCAATGCCAAAAGTATTGTCAATCTTACCCAACAATCCTGCTTTATAATCTAACTCAACTTGCTTCACCATACTCCACAATGACTTTCAACCTTGAACTCTTCTCAACCTTTCATTATCTTACTTTTAATAGGTGACCTGCTCTTCCATCTCACAGAAAAATTATTCACTGGAAGTGGACTCCTGTAATGCTTTCCATTAGATTTACATACCTGGCTACATTTACAACCTTTGATTCTCTTTCATGTCAGTTGCTGTGACAGATGGGCTTTCTTTTATTCTACTATAAGCTGTTTTAACTGTGGCATGGATCCCTTCTCTCTTACTTTTTCAATTATCTTTCTTAAATAATTATTTCTTCTTCCTTCCTCTTCATCTTCTTCCTTCTTCCTGGCTCCTTTTTATCAGCCTGTGAGCATGATCAATTCTCTTTTATTTATGATTGACACCTAATAATTGTTCATACTTTTGGAGAACAACATGATGTTTAGAAACATGTATGAGTTGTGTAATGATTAAATCAGGGTAATTAGTATCTCGATCACCTTCACCTTGAACATTTATTTATTTGTGATGAGAGTGTTCAAGAACCTCTCTATTAGCATTTTGAAATCCATTTGTAGTAGTCTGTTTTCATGCTGCTGATAAAGACATACCTGAGACTGGGCAATTTATAAAAGAAAGAGGTTTATTGGACTTAGAATTCCACATTGCTGGAGAGGCCTCACAAACATGGTGGAAGGCAAGGAGGAGCAAGTTACATCTTACGTGGATGGCAGCAGGCAAAGAGGAAGCTTGTGCAGAGAATCTCATTTTTAAAACCATGAGATATGAGACCCACTCACTATCACAAGAACAACATGGGAAAGACCCACCCCCAGGATGCAATCATCGTCCACTGGGTCCCTCCCATGAAACGTGGGAATTGTGGGAGCTACAAGATGAGATTTTGGTGGGGATACAGAACCAAACCATATCATTCTGCCCCTCGCCCCTCCCAAATCTCATGTCTTCACATTTCAAAAGCAATCGTGCCTTCCCAACTGTGCCACAAAGTCTTAACTCATTTCAGTATTAACTCAAGAGTCCACATTCCAAAATCTCATAAGAGATAAGGCAAGTCCCTTTGCCTATGAACTTGTAAAATCAAAAGCAAGTTAGTTACTGCCTAGATACAATGAGGGTACAGGCATTGGGCAAATACAGCCATTCCAAATGGGAGAAATTGGCCAAAACAAAAGGGCTTCAGGCCTCACACTAGTCTGAAATCCAGTAGGGCAGTCAAATCTTAAGGCTCCAAAATGATCTCCTTTGACTCCGTGTGTCACACCCCAGTCATGCTGATGCAAAACATAGGTTCCCATAGTCTTGGGCAGCTCTGCCCCTGTAGTTTCTCAGGGTGCAGTCTCCCTCCCAGCTGCCTTCATGGGCTGGTGTTGAGTTTCTGCAGTTTTTCCAGGTACATGGTGCACGCTGTCAGTGTATCTACCATTCTGGAGTCTGAAGGATGGTGGCCCTTTTCTCACAGCTCCACTAGCTGGTGCCCCAGTAGGGGCTCTGTATAGGGACTCCCACCCCACATCTCCCTTCTGCACTGCCCTAGTAGAAGTTCTGGCTAAACACCCTTTGGAAGTCTCCAAAGCTTGAGGCTTGCACCCTCTGAAGCCATAGCCAAAGTTCTATGTTGACCCCTTTCAGCCACATGTGGGATGCAGGACATTTTTGAAACTTTTTCCATTTGCATTTGAAACTGAATGCCTTTAACAGCACCCCAGTCACTTTTTTTTTTTGAGATGGACTCTCGCTATGTCACCTAGGCTGGAGTACAACGACATGATCTCAGCTCACTGCAACCTCTGCCTCTTGGGTTCAAGCTACTCTCCTGGCTCAGCCTCCCGAGTAGATGGGATTACAGGCATGCACCACCATGCCTGGCTAATTGTTGGTCAGGCTGATCTTGGACTTCCAGCCGCAGGTGATCCACCTCGGCCTCTCAAAGTGATAGGATTACAGGCATGAGCCACCACACTGGGCCTACTTGTATTTTGTTAAGATTTTTTGCATCTATGTTCTTCAGAGACAATGGCCTGCAGTTTTCTTTTCTTGTTTTGTCTTTGATATTAGGGGAATCATGACCTCATAAAATGCATATGGAAGGATTTCCCCCTTTACAATTTTTCAGAAGAATTTCAAAAGAATTTTTCTTGGAGTGTTTTTAAATGTTTGGTAGAATTCAGTAGTGAAGCCAAAAATAATAGTCTTTGGCTTTTCTTTGATGGGAGATTTTTATTACTGATTTAATTTGTTATTCAATTATTATCATTTTCAGATTTTTTATTTCTTCATGATTCAATCTTGGTACATTATATGAGTCCAGAAATGTATCCATTCCTTCTAGATTTTCCAATTTGTAAGCATATATTTCTTCATAATAGTCTCTAATGATCCTTTGCATTTCTGTGGTCCAGTTGTAATGGCCTCTTTTTCATCTCTCGTTTTACTTATTTTGGTCTTCTCTCTTTCTTCATAGTCTAGCTAAGGGTTTGTCAGTTTTGTATATCATTTCAAGAAAACCAAAACTTTCTTTCATTGACTTCTTTGTATTTTAGTTTCTATATCTATTTCGTATTTTATTGATTTATTCTATAATATTTACAATTTTTGTCCTTCTACTTATTTTGGATTTGGTTTGTTTTTGGTTTTTATAGTTTCTTAAGTTTCAATGTTAGATTGTTAGTTGAGATTATCCTCTTTTTTGATGTAAAGGTTAATTGTTTTAAACTCCATTGTTAGTACTGATTCTACTGTATTTCATAGATTTTTGGTACGTTGTACTTCCATTATCATTAGTCTCAAGAAATTGTTAAATATTTCCTCTTAATTTTTTCATTACCTCATTGGATCTTTATAAGCACGTTAATTAATTTTTAGGTATTTGTATATTTTCTGTTCTTCTTGATTGCTAGTTTTATTGTACTATTTTCAGAAAAAAATAGTTGATTTGATTTTAAGTTTAAAACTGTTAAAACTTGTTTGGTGACTTACCATACGATCTATCCTGGAGAATGTTTCTTATGCTGTATAGAAGAATGTGTATTCTGTAGCTGTTGGGTGGACTGTACTGCGCGGGCCTGCTAAGTCAGGTCAAAAGAACAGTTTAACACCACTGTTTGTTGTTTGATCTGTCTATTGCTGAAAACAGGGTATTATGTTCTCTACTATTATTGTTTTGAAGTCTGTTTGTTCCTTTAGGTCTATTAATATTTGCTTCATATATTTAAGTGCTTTGATGTTGAGTTCATGTACATTTATAATTTTTATACCCACTTGATGAAATTCCCCTTTATCGTTATATGATCACCTTCTTTGTCTGTTTATACTGGTTTTAATTTAAAGTCATCCCTTGGTATTCATGGGGAATTGGTTGCAGGACTCCTTGTAGATATTAAAATGCACATATACTCAAGTCCTATAGTCAGCCCTGCAGAATTCATGCATACAAAATGTTGGCCTTTCCTATCCATGGCTTTTGCATCCCATGAACACTGTATTTTGATCTGGTTTATCTTTTTTCTTTCAGGGCACAACAATCTTAACAGATCTGACTTCTGTCCTGTACGATGACAAGGAATTTCCCAATCCAGAGAAGTTTGACCCTGGCCACTTCCTGGACGAAAGTGGCAACTTTAAAAAGAGTGACTATTTCATGGCTTTTTCAGCAGGCAAGCAAGCTTTTTATGTTCACATCAGGGGTCATGTAAGATAAGGAAGTACTCTGCATGGAGGCTGCTCTGGGCTGAACAATTTGCCATTTGCATAAGGTCAGAGGCACCACTCCCAAAGACGGTTATTTCTCATGGGACTGGTGACTGCGTTCATAGATTCTGCTTCCTGGTCCACTATGTAGGTCATTAAAAGTTCCTCCTAGAAGTCCAGTTCTAGTAAAACTTTTCTCATTTACCCTGAGAAGCCAGTTCACTCAATAAACTTCACTGAGTACCTTACATATGACAATGCAATGCTCAGGTCCAGGCATACAAATGTGAGTAAGTATTAGATCTTTTCTCTAAGAGAAAGGAAAACAAATGAACAGGCAACGAAATTCCAAGATCACAAATGCTATGCTTGAGGTTTCTTTGGGAGTCCAGAGAAAGGGAGGGAGAGAGAGAGAACGAGAGCAAGAGAGAGAGAGAGAGCGCTTCAGATGATTTATTTGAGAGGGACAGGGGCAGAATAGTTGTAAAGTAAGTGAAATTTTCTTGCAATAAATCACATTTGAGTATCTTCCCTCAATTTTTGATAGTCCTGGAAAGAAACATGCAGCAATGTCAAAAAAGTTAATAAAAGAGAGTTTAATAAAGAGATGGTTTTGAGAGGTGTGGGCCAAACAAGGGGAGTAACAAAATGTGGGGAAGAACTCAGGACTAACATCAGCAAGAAGATGTTACAATCCTAGATCAAAAGATTCAAAAGAAGGAGAGTGTTGCTGGCACCTGAAGAATGAGCAGATTCCTCATCAAGAGAAGCGTCTTTAGGTAGAGGGATGTTGCCACTGTTAAACTAGTCTGACAGAGTAGGATAGAGGGAACAAATACTCTGAACTTTTCAACATCTGAGCCTCTGAATGTATCCAGAACCCAGAAGGGAACTACCTCCTGGTTTAATGCAGTTCTTAGAGGTCAGTTTCCTGGGAATAGAAAGGCACAAGAGATAAACACAAAATGGATCTGGAAAGAGGAAGAAATGGAGAATATTCAGCACCCTTCAAAGAAGTAGGAGGAGGATAGGAGGGTAGAAGACGTTTCCAACAGAAATAACTGAAACAGAGACAAAAATAAGAGATTTGTTCCTGTTTAATTATATAAGAAAATAAGTGTAGAGCAAGCCTTGATGTTGTGTTCTCAAGATTATGTGCACTGCTCAGAGATAATCTCAAAAAAGCCGTTGCTATGTGACTTCTTATCTCCTTTCATATTTTGGAGTCCACTATTGCACCATGAACCTGCTCAACATTTCTATTCATTTCACATGGCTTGCAGGCCAGCTTTTGTCCTGACAGTGGGTATTACTGTGTGCATTATAAGATCTAAGGGTTTACCTTAAGAGTTTGTACTCCAGTTTGTAAAACAGATGAATAATTTACAGTTCATGTGAAATGTAGTGTATTAGAAGCATTAATGAATATTGTGGAAAACATGAGAGCGTGAATTTTATATCCTGATGTATCAAAGAAGATTGCATAGAATAAATAACATCTGAGCTGAATCTGGAAGAATATGGGGACTATTGGCAGGCAAAGCAGAGTAGGAGACCATTCCAGGTAGAAGAATACCTGGAATCTGAGAGGAATCTTGAAATTGCCAATCTGTTTGGGGAGTGGTGAATCATTAGTAATGGCTGGGGTGAGGGGAACTGGGTGGAAGATGTGGAAAGAAATGATGCCCTAAGAATTGCCTGTGGCCACTTGGTGACATTTCTTTTTATACCTGGCATTAATAAGCTCCTGACTATTTTTTTTACAGCAGATATGTGGCAAGATTGATTATCCTTTAGAATCCAGATAAGGACAAATAAATCTATTTGTCAAGTCTAGGGTCAGAAGTATATGGAGAAGTAGATACAGTGTTGTGTATCATGCCAGTTGGGATAGATGTGTGTGTGTGTGTGTGTGTGTAAAGGTGTCACTGGCAAGCTGCAACACAGCAGTTCCAATGTGCATGGACAGAAAAGATTTTTTTCATATAGTACATTCACAGAAATATGTGCTAAAGAATAGAAAAGAAACCAGGTTTGGGTGTAAATACAAAAAGTTATAGGTTCATTAGTCATTCATTAATATATTTCTTCATTCCACATTAATTTCAGCCTCCCTGTATGCTAACTCAGCTAAAGAATTAAATGAGTAATGATCTTGTGTGTAATTTTTAGGAAAAAGAATTTGTGCTGGAGAAGGCCTGGCCCGCATGGAGCTGTTTTTAATCCTGACCACCATTTTGCAGAATTTTACCTTGAAACCTCTGGTTGATCCAAAGGATATTGACACTACCCCAGTTCACAAAGGCTTTGGCACTATACCACCCTTTTATGAGCTTTGTTTCATCCCAGTCTGATGAAGTGTCTAGCTGCTAGATTGCAGAGCAAGGCCGTTCAGTCCCATGTGAAAAATGCAGATGTTTCCTTGCCTGTGTGTCAACCATTATCTCCTCCTATCTTAATAGGAGGAATGCCATCTCTGAGCCCTATCTCTTTTGATTGTATCCATCCTTCAAAATCCATTCCAATTTTCCCTGTATGAAAGAAAATTTATTGTTTCATTTTCAATAAAATTATGTTTGTAACACAATCTTAAGATCATATGCTACATTTTATCTGTAGTCATATGAAATGGAAAGCACCCGATAAATGCCATATTTTGCTTTGCTACCAAATGAGAAATCAGAAATTATTGCGTGAGATTTTAAAAAAATGTTGAAAGTATTAAAACATGAGCTTTATTAATCTCACACTCCTATCTACCTGTCTAGGCAAATGATCTCTTGACAGATTAGCTTGTATACTTTCTTTTTTCCCCCAGTGGCTATTAAAATATAATTACATGTACATATATGCATGTGTTGGATATATATGTTGTATATGTGTTTATTTTAGCATGTATGTGCATGTGTATAAATGCAGGGAGAAAAGAAAAGAAGGTCACTTTAGCCAAAGGGAATGACATGATATAAACTTGAATTAGCCAGTCTGTCCAAGGTTATCCATTCTTTTCTCCCCCAGTGGTTAAATACACACATACAGGGACACACACAGATGTACAGAAATATTAAGGCAAAGAAAAGGGGAACATGTATTTGAATATACACAAACAGAAATATGTGTGTATGTGTGTTTATGTGTATATGTAGAATATAGCTGTGATTTGGAGGTGACAGTTGTATAGTAACATATAGATATTTTAAAAAGCAACATGAAGAAATGTAGCTCATAATGTCCTATTTAATGACTATTCCATATTTTCAGAATAATTTCCAGCTTCAATGATGTTTAGATTATTTTTGAACTGTTGTTTACTACAAGTGCTATCTGCATACATCTTATATTCTTATATTATTTCTTTAAGGCAGTTTTATAGATAAAAATGGCTGCACCATAATGTATATAATCTTTTACTTTTCATAAATACTGGAATATAGTTCACTAAAACTTATATATGTGTTTACTTTTCTAACATGAGTATAATAGAAAGAGTATTTCCCCAAATCCGTGTAAATACTGAAGATTGAATTCTTTGATAATTTTAGCAATTTTGGGTTACCTTTCATGGAGTTTTCAAATAGTAAATCCTTTCATCTGCAAATAATGTTTCACTGTAACAACCAGAAGTTTTAAGAAATAGCACCTACTGAAAATCTTTGTCAATATCTGTTTCTGTCTCTGCTGTTTCCTCTCAATTACCCATCTCTCTCTCACATAGACATGCAGTTTCTGTATTTTTACAGAAACTGATAAAAGTTGTAAATATTCGTGGAGACAGGATAACAGTTTAGGAAATTCATTTGGCAAGCCCGATATTTTATGCAATTTATCTGTTGAAATGATTGCTGATTTGAAATCAGTAGCTGAAAGGCTGAAATTCTGGCTATAAAATTTCATTCAGAAACTTTAGAATTAGGAAATAATTTCTGGCAAATTCTCAGAGTTAGAGGAAATTAAATGGAGTACAGAGCTTTTCAAGTGAGAAAGACCAAGTAAGCGCTTTTATTTCAGTTGAAGCCTAAAGGCCATTATGAAGGGTTGCAACCAAGGATTAGAATAAACCTGCAGTTGAAAAGGCCTCATTATAAAGCTATAGTCTTGCTTTAAATAATCTACTCCTATACATTTTCTTATTTCTGCAGACATTTTTCGCTAGAGAAACGTAATGTTCCGTTCTCATAGAGCCTCAAAGTTAGTCAGAGGCGAGGGCTTAGGGCATTCTCAGGTATTTCCTAAGCCTGTGTGTCATTCTATGTTCTAGAAGTGGGTCACCACTCTTCAAAGCCTTCTATGAACATCTTATTTTTCAATTCCTTCTTTTAAGATTTTTAGTTAGCTAGCAGATTTATAAAGTGCCCAGGTAGGTGTTAAAGGCATTCCCCAACATGCACACAGAGCCTCTTGCAAAGACTGGGAAATTTATTGGTTTCTGATGTCTAAGGAAATCTCTGTCCCATTAATAGTGGGGCATTAAGCTAATTGAACAACGACTTTATTAAGCTGACATAAGAAAGAAGAGAGACTTTACAGGATTATTTCAGAGAAACCACTAAAACACAAAGCAAACTGGAGTAAAAATGCCTTATTTAGGGCTTGAGAGTACAAATGTGTATTTGAACGGAATTGCATTGCCAGTGGTGAAACAGAATGGACAGAGGAAATGATTATCTTCATAGCTCACTGCAGCCTCAAACTTCTGGGTTCAAATGACTCTCCCACCTCAGCCTCTACCACACTTAGTAATTTTTAATTGTTTTTCAGAGATGGGGTCTCTCTTTGTTGCCCAAGCTATTTTCCAACTCCTGGCCTGACACAATCCTCCCACCTGGCCTCCCAAAGTGCTGAGATTACAGGCAGGAGCAAGCACGCACAGCAAGATTTTCTCCTTGCAAAACTGAAAGTCTGTACCCATTAAACACTACCTCCCCATTCCCTCCTCCTCCCAGCCCCTGGAAACCACCATTATACTTTCTGTTTGGTGATTTTTTTTTTTCACTACTCTAGGTACCACATGGAAGAGGAATCATAAAATATTTGTCCTTTTGTGACTGGTTTATTTTACTTAGCATCATATCTTCAAGGTTCATCCATCTTCCATGTTGTAGCATGTATCCGACTTTTTTTTTTCGTTTTTAAGGCTGAATATATTCCATTGTCTGTAGAAACCACATTTTGTTCATGCATTCATCTGCTGATGGACAAATGGGTTGCTTCCATTTTTTGGCTATTGTGAATAATACTGCAATGAACATGGGTGTGCAAATATCAGTTTGATGCTTTCAGTTTTTTGGGATATATACACAGAAATGTATGGACATTCTACTTTTAATTTTTTGAGAAACTCTGTCACACTGTTTTCCACCATAGGTTCACTACTTTACATTCCCACTATCAGAGTAGGAGAATTCAGATTCCTCCACGTCCGTACCCATGCTTGTTGTTTTCTGTGTTTTTTTTTTAAAATTAAAAAAAAAAAAATTCCTATAAAGGAACTTTAGAGAACTTTCTTTAAACGCTATTTTATGGTAGGTTTGCTAGAGATAAATTATCTTTGTCTCCCTTCATATAAGAATGTCTTGAATTCTTCTTCATTTGTGAAGAATACTTTTTTAATAGATATAGAATGCTAGGTTGGCAGATTTTTTTTCCCCAGCACTTAAAAACATTCTGCTAATTCCTATTTCTCCACGGATGCTGATGACAAGTGCCCCGCTAGGTAAGGTGTAATTTTTCTCTGGCTGCTTTGAAAATTATTTGTTTTCCTTTTTGGAAAATTTCCCAGAAGCGTTCGATGTGGATTTAAAAAAAATTTATCCAGATTGATGTTCACTATGATTCTTGAATCTGTAGGTTTATGTCTTTTTCCAAATTTGGGATATCTTCAGACAAAATTTCTCCTGGTACTTTTTCCGCCCCACATTTTCTTCTCTTCCGGCAGCACTCCATTTACATAATCTTTAGATCATTTATATAGTCCCATAGGTCTGTGAGGTTCTTCTCATTTCTTTTTATCTCTCTGGTCCATTTCTCTCTGTTTTTCATATTAGGTTATTTTTGTTGTTCTGTCTTCCAGTTCACTTTGTCTTTGTCTCATTAATGTCACTTTTCCTTTGTTTCATTAATGCTACCACTGAGCCCATCAACTGTAGTTTTATTTTGGTTATTTATTTCTCTATTCTAGAATTTCTATTTCATTCTTTATATCTTCTATTTATTTGTTGTTATTTTCTGTTTCTTTGCTGAGACTTTATACATTTTTCATTTGTTTCAAATGTGTTCATAATTGCTCATTGAAACATTTTTATGATGACTGCTTTAATAGCTTTGTCAGATAATTCTGACATCTCTTGTCATCTTGGTATTGGTAGCTTTTGATTGTCTTATTTGCAATTTGAATCTTCCTGGTTCTTCTAAGACATGTAATTTTCAGTTGAATCCTGGATATATTTTTTAATGATGTTATAAAACTCTGGATCTTACTAAAACCTCCTTTCACTGGCTTCCTCTCAGAACCCTATGGCCAAGGAAGAGGTGGCAGTGCTGCCTCAGTACTGGCAGGTGGGGGTAAAACTCTAGTTTGCTCACTCAGCCTACATTCATATCTGAGGTTATTTGGGGCTCCTCATTACTGCTGGACAGGGGTGGGATATCTAGCTCCACACATGGCCTCCACGGACACAACTGGGGATGTCCTCCGTACTGCTGAGTGGTGGTGAGAGCTTTGACTCTCCACTAGGCTTTCTTCATTGCATCTGGGTAGGGATGAAATATGGGCTCCTTATTGGGCCTTTTCTGTCCCCAATTCAGTAGGGTATTTGGGGCACCTCATTATAGTATTTTGAGTGTGGAAGCCTGGACACCCCACTTGGCCTTTTCAGGCATTTGGCTGGGGAAAGGTGTTACTGTTTCAAAGTATTGTGCCTTGCTGGGCTGCCCCTTTCTGGCCATTTGGTCAGAGGCAGCAGGCTCCTCTTGAGACTTTTTCTGTCTGTGCCCATTGCCCTTTCCAGGTTGCTGCCCTCAGCTCCAGGTCTGGGATGTCCAAGGCAACAGGAACACCCTAGGAGCTCACCACCATGGTCCTCAGGATGCAGGGTCCCTAGCCAGTCTGCCTTCTGTTGCCCTGTCAGAGACTTCTCATGTTGTTTTATATATAAAGTTGAGAGTTTTTAGTTGTATTGAGTGAGTAAAACAGGGAAAAATATTTTTATGAAGAGACCATCTTCTCCTGTCTGGATGCTTTCCATAATTCAAGTCATCCCCCTTTCTGTTCCAATCTTTGCTTCATAACATACGAATCTTTATTTAGTAAATAGGTAGTTTTACTAAAATATAAAAATTCATTTACTATGAGAGAAAATGCCCCTATTACGGTTGTATCAGCTGTGGGAAATTTTTTTTTATGGTATTCTTGTTTAGCTAGGAGTTATATGCAGAAAATTTGCCTCCACAAGAGATGATGGCTCAAGTTAAAAAAACAGACCCTTTATCCTCACTCTGGTCACTCTATAATTATGAGGAGGTACACTTTCATCCTGTTTGTTTGTAGTAACTCATCCCAGAGTTATGGGTTTGCTCTTTTCTGTCCTTCTTGACTTATTATTTTTTTTTTTTTTTTCTTTTTGAGACAGATTCTCCCTTCATCACCCAGGCTGGAGTGCAGTGGCATGATCATAGCTCACTGCACCCTTGACTTCCTGGTCCTTGACCTTCTAACCCTCACCCCGGGTGCTCTTTTGGCTGGAACAAGCCTGAGAGTCACATAAAGTCTGCAGGTTCAGCCTCCAAAACCCCTCTCTGGGAGATGGACTCAAGAAGGATTTCTTCTTACGTT